CCTGTCCTCCTGGCAAGCTCCTCACAGACAACATGAAAGTTTGAACCAGGCCTAATTGTTGCATATTTATTTATTTTTTATTTATTTATTAAAACATTTTTATGCCGCCCCATTCGCCGAAGCCTCGGGGCGGCTTACAATATTTCCATGCTCCGTTTCCTACAGACCCTTCATTGTGACTGTGCTCTTTTCACAGATTAACCTCACCACTCTCCTGCCAAAGGCATTCTTTGTTTGACGAAAAAGAATATTTCATTAGTGTACCAAATACTCCCACCCACTTCTGAACCCTGTTAAATCAGGACACCAGAAGAAATTTCTGAGTTTTCAGAAATCTTCTAAAGTTGATGGGAGCTTAACTAATATGATTATAGTGGCTATGCCTTTAAAGGACAACACAAATAAGCACATTCTTCCAAGAAGCTACTGGAGATTACATCAATGTGATATGCTTTCAGCATGTGATGCTATATAATTACATTCAATTTTAAGGGATCAGGGAAACACCATGCAGTGCTCTCCTTCTGTTATGAAACACATTTGAAAACTTAGCTGGCGATGATGGAACATTCCATGCTAACACATGTGGAAGGTACCAGCATGGGCATTGCCAACTTAGCAGTTTCTCCCTTGAAAAACTTCTGAGGAAGTGTAGGAGAAACTGAAAGAGTTTCAACAAAGTCATGAAGCATATAGGTGGAGCAGAAACCCATGCACCTTCAGGCTGCCACCAAATTACACTTAAGGTGAAATTTAAGGTGACTGAAATGCTCTTTGCTTCGTCAAAACATCTCAGAAATGTTAAGGAAAAACAAAGCAAGATTTAAAAATTAGTAGAATTCCTTCTGTAAAAGGAGTATGTACCACAATGCAAGCACATCACTCACCATGTACATGTTGTACACAGCTTACTGGGTAACAGCTGTATTTTCTGAAAATCCATGTTAACAGTATCAGCTGCTGCAATGATTGAGTGGAAAGTCTGCTTGAAAATCTTTCAAAACAGCATCAGTATTCAATTGAGCAGGCTTTCTTTGCCATTATTATGATTCTATAGGGTGTGCAGATGGTGGTTTACTTAGTGCTTATTTTTATTATTTCTATTTCAAGTAAAGTGTCTTATCTCATCTCTATCATTCAAATGCAGAAAAAACATATTTATATGTCACATTTTAATGCTCCGGGCAAAAGTGTGAATGGTCAACTGGTGAGATCTTTTGAAGTTCTGAATGAATTCCAAAAGCATGAAAATTTGCTTTGTGGGACAGAACATCAAAGGCTTTAGGCATTGGAGATGCAACACACTAACCTCCAAATTCTTATCACTTTCTGTTGACAAGCAAGTGGCCCTAATTAAAAATGGCAAGTTCATGCATTTCTAATTTGCCCTTAGGTCTAGATCCCTGACAATGTGAAACTGGTCCTGAAATGATGCTTTTTGTTGCAGGGATACACAACATAAGTCATAAGCAAATTCATAAGATTTGTTAATTAAATATGACAAGTGCAAATTTTCTAAACAGGATGGCAAGTATTATATTTGATGCCTAAGGTTAGACATGACAGCTTTGAACAATAATGAAAAGAAATATGAAGTTAAAACCAAACATTTTGTCACTACTTTAACCAGAAGAAATGTTTCAGTTAACCTCATTGGGAACACTTTGAGTACTTTTAGATATACAGCTAGTTGCTTGGGGACATCTCCTGAGCACTTTCTTGTGTGTTTGAACTGTGAAAGAGTAAGCTGATTAACTTATTGAGAGAAAACTAGAGAAACAGAGGAGACCTGGGCCCTTGCAAACAACTTCAGAAGATAGCCGTAGCCTTCATGTTAGGAATATGAAATCGGGATCAAACACCAAAGTGTCTTTGAGCTGTTCACATGACAGAATAGCTCACCATGGGTTGTTTAACCCACAGTGAGGCTGCCACATGTGGGGCACATCCAGCCACCATTTTGATTATGCAAACCAAACTCAAGGGATGTTGTGTTGTCTAACGCACACTCCCTGGGTATGCATGATAGCCTATGGTCTGTTCTAGGGTTGTTTAACCCATGGCTAAACCCACACTTGCCAAGTTTACATATCAGAACTCATTCAAATGCAGGTTGCAGACGCAACTTGGTACTTGAGGTTGCCATGGCATGACACCAGCCAAAACACTTTGACCTTGAGATTCCTCCATCTCTATTTTATTAGAATGAGAAGACCAAGCTAAATAAATCCTTAATAGATTCAGATTCAAATGAGTTTGCAGTTCTAGAAATTTGACATTCAGATTCTGTAGGATACTAACTTTACCTGAGTAATTTGCATTGCATGGATTTGCAATCTCTAAAAAAACTCTAAAAATGCACAAGGGTCCATTGCTTTTGTAAACAGAAATGAAAATCTTGTACATCCCTAAAAACAATCTATCAATGAGCAGGCAATGCCCGATAATGCACAAAGCATGGAGAGAATGGATTTTACAACATCTGTACATCCCTAGGCTAACTACACATGACAGGTATCAGAGTCCCAACTACATACAATGCTGAACACATATTTTAAGCAGCTGATTAGATGGGAGGCAAGCAAACTGCAAAAAGTCAGGAGCAATGCCTGTTTCCTTCCTTTGCCCTTTCAGAATGGGCTGGAAAAGAGTAAGGGGAAGGCTGCTGCAGCCAGGAGAACCCCCTTCCCCACGGAGCTTCTTCCTCTAAGCTCTGGCACTTCTGTGGGTGACTAGAAAATGTGCAAACAAGAGAATGCAGCAGCTGTAGCAGGAAGGTCTGGGACGCCACTGCTGCTGCTTCCAGCTGAGGCTTTTATTATGCAATTGCCTGGCCTCAAATAAAGAATTTGATTAGGGATAGAGGCATCTTCTTCTGTCTATTTTCTTACCACAAAAGAGCTGGTATTGCTAGTAGCTTTCCATCTGGAAACACCGAGAGAGCCAGAGCAGCTCTGAAGGAGCAGCTAATTATCCATGCTCCCCTCTGAACAAGGATGCCACTGGGCAAAGGAGAGTTCTTCCTCCAAGCGGTGGTCCCTTTTTTGCACTCTCCTCCTGCAGCATCATCCAGAGATGGCAGGCAGAGAGACAGAGCGAGCAAACAGCCCACTACCTCTTTCACTCCCTCCCTCAGCATGGCTTCACCAAGCACAACCCTTCCTGCAACACTGCCCAAGGAGGCAGGGTGAGCACTGCCGTGAGACAGAGCAGCAACCATCATTTTGGAGCAGAAAGGAAGGAAGGACTGTGTTGTGTTGCTGACCATGCTTCCTTCTTTTGCTGACCTTCTCTTCCTGAGGGCAGGACAGGCAGGATTTGGTTCTCTAGGCAGAATCCCCACCAGGCCAGCAAGTGATCCATGTTCAACCCTGTATGCTGCACTGCCCATAGATGCAGTGGCCAAGAGGGTGAGGTGGTGTTATTTATTTTTATTTATTATTTTATTTATTAAGACATTTATATGCCGCCCCATTCGCCGAAGCCTCGGGGCGGCTCACAATATGAAGAAAATTACAAAAGTAGCAGTATAAAAATAACAATATAACATAAATAACAATATAAAAGAAGTCACCCTGGCCAGATAAAATAAATACTGTTAACAATTGAAATGACGCTTAAATAAAAAGGTCTTCACCTGGCACCAAAAAACAAATATCGACGGTGCCAGGCGGACCTCTCTGGGGAGCGCATTCCATAGATTGGGCGCCACCGCAGAGAAAGCCCTCCTCCGAGTACCTACCCTCCTAATTTCTTTCACGGAGGGTTCCCGGAGAAGGGCCTCTCCCACAGATCTCAAGGGGCAGCCAGGCATATATGGATGTAAACACTCCTTCAGTGCTTATGGTGAGGCCCACTGCAGCTGTTATCCTGAATCATTGGGTTCATTTAGAGCCCCGTATCTCCACCACTCCATGACACAGGCCCTTGCTGGAACCATGGTACTGGATGCCCAATGGCTTCTGTTTGATCTGATCCCCCTGGCCTAGCTGGCTCTTTGCCCATACATGTTTCACCTCCTGCTGTGCCCCCCCCCCCCAACATGCTTCTGTCTGAGGTTTTGTCTGAAACCAAATGCCTTCTTCTCCCTGGTCCCTACCTCCCCTTGTACAAACAGGGCTGCCATAGGGAAGCAGGGTCCTTTAGCGGCGCACACACAGGCTTTCAAGCCTATGCACCCTGCACCGCCCCTGCCTCCTCTTGCCTGCCCCCTGCCACTAGCCGCCAGAAGCCCGCCGCCCAAGAGAAGGAGGGGGCTGACTTGAGGGGGCCGCTGACTCCACAAAGGGTTGCTTTCCTTCCCTCGTCAGGCAAGTCAAGTGCTGGATCCACTTTGGACAACGCAGAAGAACCAGAAGGAGCAAGTGAATAAAAGGAAGCAGCTGCCTGGAGGAGCAGCGGCCCACCCACTCTGCCTGGTCCCTGGTTCGCAGAGGGGTGCAGAGCTGGCCAGCGGGGCCACCACTCCTCCGAGAAGGCTACGTGCGAGCGATTGAAGAGGCGGCGGCTGCATCCCGCCCTGCCCGGAGGGGGCGTGAGCCGACAGCGCTGGCCGCTTCCGCGCTCTCTCGGCAGCAGGATGGGCCCGGTCCTCCCTGCTGCAGGGCCAGCGAGTGACCTGAACTTGGCTTGCTCCAGTCGGCAACGCCCAGAAGAGGTGCCTTGGATGTAGGGCTCGGGCGGCCCTGCGGGTTTCCGGGCTGGGGCAACCCTCCTTTCCCCGGTCTTCTCCAGCCTCCAAGGCAGAAGAAGGGGGCAGAGCCTGCTGCACTGACCGCTTCCTGCTTGCTCGAAGCAGCGGCGGCGGCGGCCTTGTGCCCCTTTCTAAAACACGCGTTGCGCAAAGCCCTCGGAGGCAGAGAGGGAAAACGGATCTCTGCCGAGGGAGAGGCGGTGCGCGGGGTAGCTCCTCCCCCCGCACCTTCGCTGCCTCCACCCCTTTCTGGAGTTTTATAACTTGCAGGGTTTCCGCGTCCTGTGACTCCGGTCAGGTGGTTTCCCCCTCCCGCCTTCCCTTCCCGAGCCCTGTTCTCTCCCTGCTGGAGCGACGCGCCTTCCCGCCGAGAGGACGGAGTCGGACAAAGAAAGTTCCTTGATCTGCCGCCCCGCTTGCCCTCTTTCTCGCTCCTTCTCGTCTGCGTCTCCCCGCAGGCTTCCTCTCAGTGCTGGGCGGTGGAGGCTGCGAGGGAAAGAGGCAGGGTGAGAATGGCTGGAGGAGAGAGCGGCGGCGGCGGCGGCAGCTCGGGGGCGTCTGAAAGTCGGGAGCATCTGTTCAAGGTTCTAGTCATCGGTGAGCTGGGAGTGGGCAAAACGAGTATCATCAAGCGCTACGTCCACCAGCTCTTCTCCCAGCATTACCGCGCCACCATCGGTGTGGACTTCGCTCTCAAAGTGCTCAACTGGGACAGCAGGACCCTGGTGAGGATGCAGCTCTGGGACATCGCAGGTGAGGATGGCAAAGAAGCTACGCAGGGGAGCAGGCGAGCGGCTCGCCCTTTGCAAGAACAGCGTGGCTCCGGAGCCAATCTGGAGGTGTGATCTGTTTCAGCCGTGAGGAAAAGGCAGTTCGCATATGCTCAGAAGCAACTGCTTTTCATTTTTAGGACTCTGTAGTCTTTGGGTATAAACTAAAAAAGGAAACCGATTTCCACAATGGAAAGGCCGCTTGGAAGAGTGGATAGGCAGCAGGACTTGAACCTAGTTAGCCAGGAGTTCAGATTCCTGCTCAACCAGGAAGCTTGCTCTGTGACTTTAGGAAGCTATTTTCCTTCCTTCCTTCTCAATCTTAACTCCTATAACAGGGTTAAGCATGTGAATAAATGGGGGAGGTAAAAATCATACATGGTAGTCTGGACTGTGTGGAGGAATAGAGGCCTTTCTTTTTTTAAACACACAATATGGATTCCCTTGGAATACGAGCCACTTCGTGTGTTATTGCCTTTACTTCTTGGAATGACTCTGCATCTCTATTTTGCTATATCAGTATAGCTTGGGCTTATTTACCAAAATATCTGTGCTTTTTGTATATGGTATGTACCAGAGTTCTCCAACTTGGTGCACTTCACAGCTTTGGATCACAACTTCTATCACCCATTAGTCATCCTCATTGGAGCCGATATGAATTATAGTCCAAAACATAGGGAGGGCATGGAGCTGGAGAAACCTGGTCTGTGTCCTATGTAGAAAAAATGGAAATAACATTCATGTACAAAGAATGTCAGAATGGAGTGAGGGCTAAGTTTTAAGGAACTTCAGCACAAATCTAAAGCATGGACACAGGCAGTAGACTTTCAAAGCCTTTGTATCATTCTGTTCAATTTCTCTTTTCCCAATACAGAAGTTAATACACTAGGTAGAATACCAAGATGCTCAACTCCTTCTTGCATTCATAGTGATGAGAATACGTCACCTGTGCAAAGTTTGCATATCTTACAGTTATGGAAGGGAAAGGTGTTGCTAATCTTTTGTGGTCCACTTGCAGTTTTACAGATGTTGTCAATAACAGCTTGACTGTGTATTTCTTAAACAAAACTCACTGGAAAATAGTGGCTTTCTGAAATAAGAGATTTTCTGTGATCTATCGAAGCTACTATGCTGTTCATTAAAGGGTAGTACTTGTTAAAAGGCTTCCTTTTTTAACTTCTAGCAATTCAGTTGAAGAAAGTTTTTAATATGGCATTTCTTTAGTGCCTTTGTTATCTTGAGTAAGCAACCCATTCTTTAAAAAACCATTTAAGCATTTTCTGTGGTTTTTCTTTCCCTTTAGACACTGTCAGTTGCCACTTCGCTGTTTTATAAGCCATTTTAAATAGCAGCTGAATGCAAGGATTTCCCACCTTTCTTTTACTATTCTGAGTCTTTCAATATGGAGACAGTATTCTCTTCCCAGCACTGTGCTTAGCACTTTTGGAGCCCAGCTACTCTTTTTCATAGATCAAACAGAAGGATTGGGAATAAATGCTAAAAAGATACATTTAAAAAATCACACTGTGATTACAGCAAAACTGTTGATCTTCCTACCCTTGGTTAGATGAACCAATGCAAGCAGCTTTGGGTATTAGGTGGTGAGTAGGTTCCCTGTTTGTAGACCTTCAGGTGGCTATAAAGGATGGATTACTTAGAGCACAGCATGAACACTTTGCAGGTGTAAGGCCAGAGAACTTTAACCTGGATGCAGTTAAGTTGCTCAACTTCACTTCTGGCCTGTGAAAAGAAAGATGACTGACGTAACAAGGTGACTAGCTGATTTGCAGATTGCACCATGCTTCTGAGACTGAAAATATGACCACTCTCTGGAAGGTGCTTTCAGATGGGGTCTTCAGACTTCCTTTTTTGCTTCTACAGTAGTGTTGCCAAAGCCTTCACTAATGGAAGAGCACTTATGTTGCTGAGGTTGTTCCTGTTCTACCAGCAGTGTAGAAATTGTCCTTTTATGCAGATGTTTACACAACCAGTAAAATGCAATACTCCTAACAAAACATCACCTTTAACAATTGTAATTCCTGTATTACAACTATTGCCAAAAGGAAGAAAAATAATAAACCCTGTTTAGTCACATTCATATCTGAAGTGACAGTCACTGTTGTAAAAACTTCTGTGGGAGTTGCTGGGTTACTTCAAGGTGATGTACAGCTCTGCAGGTGGTAAATATTGTCACACTAGGCCAAGTGGTGGGGTTTTTTTAACCTGACCTAAGGCTATTTTACAGTAAGAAGTGTGCTTGCACTTTTCCTTGACAGATGAACAGAAAATAAACTGAATCTGACAGCTGCATTAATGAGACTGATGATGTGTTTTGATCACATGTGGATTAAAGGAATGGCTTAGGGCACACATCCTGTCGGTTCCAGTAGTGGTTCTGTCCTGTGGCTGTGTGTGTGGGCGCCAGTCCCCCATCTCTTGCTGTCCACAAGAGTAGAGACTTCTGCTGGCAGCCTTTTCCCACTGAATTCTAATGAAATCACCCACCATCGCAGCATGATGCTTGGTGCCAGTGCTCATATGCTTCTTCCCAATGTCATTGTGTCCTCTCTTCTACCAGTCTCTGGTTGTGGACTTGCAGTTGGGTTACTGAGCATGTGCATTGGGCATGTGTATGCGGAACATTGTGTTTCCTTGTGAAGCAGGTATTTGGAAGAGGTAGGCAGAGTGTCTATGAGGGCTTTGTCCCAAGTGCAGATAGGACTGGGCTGCCTGTGCTAGGTATCCAGCACATGGGTTTGGAAGAATGCTTAAGGTTGGATGCACGTAGGCAATAATACTGGCAGCTGTTTGCTTGATTTTTCAGTATTTTTATGTAGGGAGAGCAGTGAATGATGGAGCAAGGCTTTGGTGAGCTTCCATCCATCTTTCTTGACGAGGGAGAGGCTATTTCCTTTACCTTTAGTTTCCCTTTTCCATAAAATAGGGTTGTTGTCAGGACAGAACTACTTGGTTCCAAGGAAGTACTTTTGTGTGGCTGTCTGGATCAGTCCTTGCCCACTTTGTACTCCTGATTCAAGTCACTTGCTTCAGCTTCTCTTTTCTGTGCAAACAATGTTGGTTCCTTGGGGGTGCTTTGGTGTGTACCCCCACATTTTAAGTTCATGATCATGAAATTAGTTTGCCACAGTTTGTATGTTTCCTGTACAGTGTCACTGGAGGCAGAAGGCTGCTTTCCCAGGTTGCCCTCCCCACAGGCACAAGGGGTAGGGGAGCAGAAAACTGCACCTGCCCATCCTCCTCTCCTACCCTATCACAACAAAGTGACAAGGGGCAAGCTTCCACTTGCTGTTGAAAGAACATGCACTTCCTTCTGTTTTAAATAGCATTTTCTTCTGTTTTAAATAGCACTTCCTTCTGTTTTTAATGTTCCTGCAGCCTAACCTGCAACTATTTTTATTTTATTTTATTTATTTGTGATATTTATTTATCATGAGATATAACAAAATCCCTAAGCAGTTCTACCATTAAAAGAATTGTAGGCTGCACTCCTTACCAAACCTACTCAGATCAATGCTTAGTTGAAATATTTGCTGTTTTAAGAGATCTGTCCATTGTGTTGTTACTTATAGGCTAGACGTTTAACATCAGTAAATCTGTTTCATGATTTTATATTGGGGCATATCCATAGATTATCAATAAAAGGGGCAAAATATTATTTATGGCTGAGTTTCAGCAGCAAATGCTTTCATGAATGAAACATGCAAGCTCTTAAGAAAGCTTTTCATTTGGTAAAAGTGTGTAATACCTGGCTTGAACGTGAGATGGTCATTCTTCTTAACTTTTCCAATCTTGTATCCTTACCACTCAGTGACTGTTTTATGGAGGAACTGGCCAAAGAGAACATGATATTTTGTTTTTTGAAATAAAATACAGATTGCTGAAGCAAGTGGGAGAGAACCCCTCCCTCCCTCCCTCTCTATATATGTAAAATCAAGGTTGTATAGTATTGGGAAAGCATCCAAGCTGGTATTATATCTTGCTTAAATGTGATTACTTTCTTAAAAAAACCCAACAACCAACAATTCATTTTCCAAAGGAAATGAATGACTAAGCTATTAGCTGAGAGTAGAGCCTTCTATTATAAGAGTCAAGAGGAGATGAGGCTATTTATTTCAGTAGCCCTGTGACAGTCAGTGCTGGCATACGAAATGGGTCATCCTGCAACAGAATTGTGTTGCTTTTCTTCAGGGTAGTGTCAGAGTATTTGCCCTCCTTCACCTAACAGCAGCCTCTGAAGTGTTGAGCACATTAAGGGCCCAATCTTCTGCATGTTTAGACAGAAAAAAGCCCCACAATGGTCATTATCCGTAGTGTATGTGGAATGCTGGGACTTGGAGGATTTTTTCTATGCAAACATACAGAGGGTTGCTTCCTATGATGCAGTGATGCTAACTCACAGATTTGGGTTCTTTGCATTGCAGTGTTGACTATTTCTTACTGTCCTGGCCAAGGAAGGGGGATGCTTTCTTTGATGAGACCTGGTACTCCTTGTTGCAAATGGAGGTGCATGGCATGCCAGCACAAGAGTGGTGGTTGTGATTCTCGTATTAAAAGGTGTGGTGGAAATAATGACCATGTTGTGGTGTGCCCAGCTTTCCATTGGTACACCAAACAGCTCAATGCCATAAAAATAAAGGCCTTTGAGAAGCATGGCCATTTAACAGATCAAGCCATTGAGATTGAACCAGTCCTTACCAGTGTGCATTTTTGGAATTGCCTGTGATAGATTACTCCTTTCTGACACAGTTTCAAGGCAAGGTTGGTCCTGGCAAGTTGCATATCCCTGTTTCTTGAGCTGTTTTCAGGCCTCCTCTCTGGTGGGTGGGTGGTTTGTTTGTTTGTTGGTGGCTTAAGCACAGTTGCATTGCTAGCCTGTTGCAGTGAGGCATGCTACTTCTTTAAAAGGCCTTCTGCCTAATAGCTTTCTCTTTCCTTGTGGTGAGAGGATCCCAGAATGAGCAA